CGACCGGCGCCACCATCGCAGCAGTAGAGGAAGGTCGCGCGCAACTGCTGTGGGCGCGCAACTGCAGAGGAAGGTCGCGCCGCCTCCATCCCGACCGGCGCTGCCTCCATATCAGTTTTCTCAGTTCGCGTCACCATCCCCGACCTTCTTACTCAAGGTGAATTTTTAGAACCTCCATAAAAGATTACTTTTGTTTCTATTTAGTTGAAGTATCTCAAAATTAGAGTACTAATATACTTAGTTTTATTGATTGTTAGTTTTGATTGATTTGTTAGTTAGTAAGTGAATGATTTAGGGTTTTTGATTGTTAGTTTGAATTAGGGATTATTTGATTGTTAGTTTGTGTTTGTTGATTGTGAATTGAAAATTTTAATGTTAGGGTTAGTTTGAATTAGGGTATCTTAATTGAAATTCGATATTTCTTGAGTTAATTAGTTTGATTTTGGAATTGTAAGATTAGATTGAATTAGGTTATATAAGGAGTTGTTTGAATTTGGGTATTATTTGAGTTAGTTTGAATTATTATTGAGATTTTAGGACTAATGGTTTGAATTTGGGATTAGGAATAGCTAGCTAATTTTAATTTAGGATTTTAGCACTAGTTAGATTTTGGGATTTTAGGGCTAGTTTGAATTTGAGATTTTAAGACTAGTTTGAATTTTGAATTTAGGAGTAGTTTGAATTATTATTGAGATTTTAGGACTACTAATAGTTTGAATTTAGGATTTTAGCACTATAGTTTGATTTTTGAATTCTAGGAGTACTTTCAATTTGTGATTTTAAGGCTAGTTTGAATATGGAATTTAGGACTAATAGTTTGAATTATATTTGATATTTTAGGAATAATTAATAGTTTGAAGTTGGGACATTAACTAGCTAGTTTGAATTTAGAATTTTAGGGATTTGAATTACAACTTAATTAGAACTTATAATTAATTATAACTTGAATTTACTATAAATTGAACTTAATTAGGAATATGAACTTGAAATTATAACTTGAACTTGGAACTAATTAGCTTGAATATATAACTAATTAAGTTTAGAAATTAGATATGAACTTGAATTGAAACTTGAACTTATTAAAACTTGAATATATATTAATTAATGTGGTTTAGTTGGTGGATTTAGTGTTGTATTAAGTCAAAACTAAACTAGTTCAAGAGTTAAAGTTGTTTAAATAAGTTAAATTAATTAATGTGGTTTAGTTGGTGGATTTAGTGTTGTATTAAGTCAAAACTAAACTAGTTCAAGAGTTAAAGTTGTTTAAATAAGTTAAATTAATTAATGTGGTTTAGTTGGTGGATTTAGTGTTGTATTAAGTCAAAACTAAACTAGTTCAAGAGTTAAAGTTGTTTAAATAAGTTAAATTAATTAATGTGGTTTAGTTGGTGGATTTAGTGTTGTATTAAGTCAAAACTAAACTAGTTCAAGAGTTAAAGTTGTTTAAATAAGTTAAATTAATTAATGTGGTTTAGTTGGTGGATTTAGTGTTGTATTAAGTCAAAACTAAACTAGTTCAAGAGTTAAAGTTGTTTAAATAGGTTAAATTAATTAATGTGGTTTAGTTGGTGGATTTAGTGTTGTATTAAGTCAAAACTAAACTAGTTCAAGAGTTAAAGTTGTTTAAATAAGTTAAATTAATTAATGTGGTTTAGTTGGTGGATTTAGTGTTGTATTAAGTCAAAACTAAACTAGTTCAAGAGTTAAAGTTGTTTAAATAGGTTAAATTAATTAATGTGGTTTAGTTGGTGGATTTAGTGTTGTATTAAGTCAAAACTAAACTAGTTCAAGAGTTAAAGTTGTTTAAATAGGTTAAATTAATTAATGTGGTTTAGTTGGTGGATTTAGTGTTGTATTAAGTCAAAACTAAACTAGTTCAAGAGTTAAAGTTGTTTAAATAGGTTAAATTAATTAATGTGGTTTAGTTGGTGGATTTAGTGTTGTATTAAGTCAAAACTAAACTAGTTCAAGAGTTAAAGTTGTTTAAATAGGTTAAATTAATTAATGTGGTTTAGTTGGTGGATTTAGTGTTGTATTAAGTCAAAACTAAACTAGTTCAAGAGTTAAAGTTGTTTAAATAAGTTAAATTAATTAATGTGGTTTAGTTGGTGGATTTAGTGTTGTATTAAGTCAAAACTAAACTAGTTAAAGTTGTTAAGTTGTTTAAATAAGTTAAATTAAATAATGTGGTTTTGTTGATGGATTTAGTTGTTGGAATTAAGTCAAAACTAAACTAGTTAAAGTTGTTAAGTTGTTTAAATAAGTTAAATTAAATAATGTGGTTTTGTTGATGGATTTAGTTGTTGGAATTAAGTCAAAACTAAACTAGTTAAAGTTGTTAAGTTGTTTAAATAAGTTAAATTAAATAATGTGGTTTTGTTGATGCATTTAGTTGTTGGAATTAAGTCAAAACTACACAAGTTAACGTTAAAAAGTTGTTAAGTTGTTTAAATAAGTTAAAATAAATATGTCAAAACTAGTTAGACTTAGAAAGTGGTTAAGTTGTTTAAATAAATTCAAATGTTATTTAGTTGATGGAATTAAAATTATCATTATTGTTTGTGTAGATGAATCCTGATCGTAGTTGGATGTATAATAGAAACAATCCTGGTCGAGCGGGTATGATTCCAGAATTTGCAGAAGGTGTCACTAGATTTATAAATCATGCAAAGACACTTGATGATTTTCTAATTTCAAGATTGATTAGGTGTCCGTTTGTTAATTGTGAAAATGTGAGATATCATACAACAAAGACTATTGCTATGCATCTTATGATGAATGGATTCAAACCAGGGTATACTGTTTGGACTTTAAAATTATCATTATTGTTTGTGTAGATGAATCCTGATCGTAGTTGGATGTATAATAGAAACAATCTTGGTCGAGCGGGTTTGATTCCAGAATTCGCAGAAGGTGTACACTAGATTTATAAATCATGCAAAGACACTTGATGATTTTCTAATTTCAAGATTGATTAGGTGTCCGTTTGTTAATTGTGAAAATGTGAGATATCATACAACAAAGACTATTGCTATGCATCTTATGATGAATGGATTCAAACCAGGGTATACTGTTTGGACTAATCATGGTGAGGTTGAAAGTGACACTATGTTTAATAACTTTGTTGTCGGTGAAAGTAGTAGATCTACCGAGCATAATTATTTCCAAGGTTCTAGAATGTCAGATATGATTAATGATGCTTTTGGGATGCATTCTGATTTTGAACAAGGAGAAAATGTAGAAGAAGCTCCTAATGAAGAAGCAAACATCTTTTATGAACAATTGCGTGATTGTAGTAGTCCTTTCTTCAACGGGAGTCAACAATCTAAATTGTCTGTTGCAGTTAGATTGTTAAGTATCAAATCTGACAATAATATTTCTCAAGGAGCAATGGACTCTATGATAGATCTTATACAGGAATTAGTTGATCCCAATGTAGAGATTCATGATTCGTATTATAAAGCAAATGCATTGGTGTCTAAGTTAGGACTCTCATCGATAAGAATTGATTGTTGTGAAAAAAGTTGCATGTTACACTATAAGGAGGATGTCGATCTAGAGTCTTGTAAGTTTTGTAGTCACCTAGCTATAAGACTGGTTCTACCGGAAAGAAACTTGCTATTAAGGCGATGCATTATTTACCTCTTATATCAAGATTGAAGAGGTTGTATGTATCAAATAGCTCTGCTCCTCATATGAGATGGCACTGTGAAAATAGAAGGCCACCTAGTGTCACGTGTCATCCATCTGACGGAGAGGCTTGGAAACATTTTGATAGAACTTATCCATAATTTGCCGCTGAACCAAGGAATGTTAGGCTGGGTTTGTGTGTGGATGGTTTCACCCCTTTTTCAGTTGGGGCTGCACCATATTCTTGTTGGCCTGTGTTTATTACACTGTATAATCTTCCATTTGAGATGTGTGTGACAAGTCCATATATATTTCTGAATTGTGTCATTCCCGATCCAAGTAATCCAAAAAGCAAGATTGATGTGTACTTACAACCTTTGATTGATGAGTTGAAATTATTGTGGTCTAAGGGGGGTAGAAACATGGGACATTTCTCGTAAACAAAATTTCAACATGCGTGCTACTTTAATGTGGACTATTAATGATTTTCCTGCCTATGGAATGCTATCTGGATGGATGACTGCTGGAAAGTTAGCATGTCCCTACTGTATGGAAGATACTAAATCATTCACATTAAAACATAGCCGAAAAAAATTCATGGTTTGATTGTCACTGTCGATTCTTGCCACCTGATCATGAGTTTAGGAGAAAGAAATATGCATTTAAAAAGAATAAAACTGAACGAGATGGTCCACCCCCAGTATTAACGGGTGATGATATTTGGGAAAGGGTTCAAAATTTTCCAAAGGTAATTGAGGGTATGGTGTTGCACATAATTGGACTAAACAGAGTATATTCTGGGAGTTACCTTATTGGAAGGATAATTTGCTTAGACATAATCTTGATGTCATGCATATTGCAAAGAATTATTTTGATAATTTGTTTAACACTGTAATGGATGTGACTAGCAAGACAAAAGATAATGTTAAGGCGAGACTTGACTTACCAGAACATTGTAGATGACTGGAGTTGCATTTACAGGAGTCTGCCAACAACAAGTTACTTAAGCCCAAGGCTAGTTATTCATTCACAATGAAACAGAAGAGAAATTTGTGAGTGGGTGGAAAGCTTGAAATGCCAGATGAATATGCCTCAAATTTGGGAAAGAGGGTTGACATTGAGTGTGGAATATTACATGGGATGAAAAGTCACGACTGTCATGTTTTCATGGAACAATTACTTCCGATTGCTTTTTGTGGATTGCCTGAAAACATATGAAAACCAATGACAGAGATCAGTTTGTTCTTCAAAGACTTGTGTTCCAGCACATTGAGAGTAGAGAATCTGGTTCGGATGGCCAAAAATATAGTTGTTATTAGTAATAAGTTGGAGAAGATTCTTCCACCTGGGTTCTTTGATGTGATGGAACATCTTCCTATTCACCTTGTTCATGAAGCTCTACTGGGAGGTCCAGTTCAATATAGGTGGATGTATCCTTTTGAGCGGTAAGTAACTATAACACATTTATTCTTATTTCATAAATCGTTACGGTAAGTAACTATAACATATTTATTCTTATTTCATAAATCGTTTATATATCTTTTGAAATTATATATCTAATATAAAATTTTACAGGAGTATTGGCAAGTCTAAAAGGGGTATTAAGAATAAACATAGGGTGGAGGGCTGTATGGTTCAAGTATATCTAGCTAAAGAAAGATCCCACTTTTGATCTTACTACTTTGATAATTATGTGTCGTGTTTGAGAAACAGACCTAATCGACATGATGATATTGAGAATGATCCTGCAGTACAATCATTATCAATCTTCAACCAACCGGGTAAGGGTTCAAAAAAACGTACATTGCGCAAACTTATCGAAAAGGATAAAAAATCTGCAAAGCTTCATGTCTTGTTGAATTGTCCAGAAGTCCAACCCTTCTTAGAGTAAGAAAATTAAATATGTAAACAACATATATTAAACTCCGATTTTATTATAGAAACTAACTGTATTTTCAATGTGATTCTACAGTTATTTTGTGAGCCAATATGGTCATGATCAAGTGTTTCCATCATTTATAACGTGGTATACTAATTGGGTAAGATACACTTATTAAGAGATTAGTGTACTCTTCTTTCTACTAACATTGCTTTTAATTTACTAACCATATATAGGTCTACAATTCAGAAAATGCCGCCACATTTGATCAATTTTTCAAGGATATTTCTTGGGGACCGATTACAGTTCACACAATGTCCCAATATAACGTAAATGGTTTTAAATTTGCCACAGAGAAATACTCAAAGAATAAGAAAACTAATAATAGTGGTATTTGGGTTAAAGGTGATGATGGAAATCAAAATGAGAATGTTGATTATTTTGGCGTCCTACAGGAGATTGTAGACGTTGATTATTTTGGCGTCATACAGGAGATTGTAAAGTTGGAGTATTCGGGTTGGCCAATCAAAAGAATAGTACTTTTACAATGCAAGTGGTTTGATCCAACTTCAAGAGGTACGAGGGAGCTTAAGCAGCATAATATCACTGAAGTCAAGCACACTAGGAAGTATGAGGCTTATGATCCTTTTATTATTGCATAGAATGCTAAGCAAGTGTACTATGCTCCTTATCCGTTGCGTAGGGATAAGTCTGATTGGTGGGTTGTAAATCAAAACAAAACCGATGGGGCGAGTGGAAGTTGAGAATGAATTGGATGTTGCATAACAAAATGAAATATCAAGTGTTCATCAAGTAGTAGATGCTGAGTTAGAAATGAATTTGGAGCATCCTGATCATATTTTAGAAGAAGTTAATAGAGAAAAGTTAGATATGCCAACAAATATGGAGGAGGATGAGGAGGAAACTTTCGAAGAGGATGAATGGATAGATGAGGAGGAAACTTCCGAAGATGATGCATGTGAATGGATAGATGATGAAAAAACTTCCGAAGAGGATGAATAACAATTTGTATGTTTAGTTGGTGGATTTTTAGCTATTCATATTTGAGTATACTTTATATTTTAGTAGTTTTAACTTTTGTTCGACATTGTGAAAGACTATTTAGTAGTTTTAACGCGTCTTGCAAGATCGATTTGTGTCCATCTAGTGTTGATATTAAGCTTTAATTTAGGAATAATGTGTTTGTTAAGCATAAGTACCAACACTAGTTGATCCTATTGATGACAAAATTAATTTTCTTGCAAGATCAATTTGTGTTCATCTAGTACTGACACTTAGCTCAATTAATGACAAATAGTTCATGAGTCATGTCAAAGAATCCTTAGAATTGTAGAGTTTGATACATAGAAAAGAGTTCAATCTCACAAGTTACAGTTCAATGTAAGCCTCTTACATCGATTTTTAAGTAATGTAGGTAGATATTCTGAAACATGTGAACACACATTCCCTTTATTGATCATTGAATTTGCAGAAACTAAGTGTTGTGACTGGAAATGGAGAAAAAGAGTTTAGGGACAATATTACCACTTCTTTGAAATATAACTTGTAAATTGAACAACATTGCAACAGTTTTCAATAGTTTGATTTTTCAATTCTAGGAGTACTTTCAATTTGTGATTTTAAGACTAGTTTGAATTTGGAATTTAGGACTAATAGTTTGAATTATATTTGATATTTTAGGACTAATTAATAGTTTGAAGTTGGGACACTAGCTAGCTAGTTTGAATTTAGAATTTTAGGGACAAGCTAAAGTGAAATGCCCCAGGTGAAAGATAAATAGCAATTTGTATGTTTAGTTGGTGGATTTTTAGCTATTCATATTTGAGTATACTTTATATTTTAGTAGTTTTAACTTTTGTTCGACATTGTGAAAGACTGTTTGGATTAAGCCTTATGTTATGATAACTTTGTTTGATATATTTGTTCGACATTGTGACATTATTTTGTACTACTTTGTTTTAATCTTTATATTTAATTGATATAGATGGTAGATAAAGACAAGGGTAAATCAAAAAAATCCACCAATCCAAAAGAGAAATTTAAGGCCAATGCTATGAGAAGGCCCACTGGGGTCGTGATATCTGATGAGCCTTCTCGAGTTAATATTTCAAAAAGAGCCTCAGTTTCAACTACTCACTCGACACACCAGTCACATAAAGTCTCTACTCATGTGGCTCCACAATCTGGTTATACTATATCTACACCCACTGTGACACCTAGTTCGGGTTACCAAACATTGCAGGGCTATTCACATCTTGGTCGTGGGTCTACCATACCATCAGCTAGTGCTAGTCAGTGCAATAGTTTGAATACTAGTAGTGGATCAATTGGACTTTCCAATATTTATCTTGAATCCAATGGCTCAGAGCCTAATACTCCCACCACCCAGCACTCAGATGCACATGGTCCTCAGCCAGGCGATAGAGACAATTTTTGGAGACTCGTCATCGAGCCATTAGGATACAAGTATGATTTAATTATGTTTCATCTTTCATTTATCTATTTATATTTTAATTGATTGATTATTTTTTGTTTACTCTACTTCGTCAATGAACTCGTATTTCAGCTTACGTCCGGATTTGGGTATGGCAAAGATTATTTTAAAGTGCATCGGAACTCACTATAATGGTGTGTATCCGGATTGGAGTTCAATTCCACTTAACACCTAAGGGCAGATGTTCAATGAATTTAAGGTAATAATATATATAAATTAAATTCACATCATATACATTTAAATTCTCTAGTCATTTGAACAATAAATATTTAGTTATTTTTTATGACAGAAATATTATGTATGGGCTCCCGAACACGAGGATGACGTTCAAGTGAACTTCAAGCTTAAAGCTTCAAAGTTGCTTTCTAGCACATTTTGTGACTATCGAAGAGAAAATAAAATTCCTAAGTTTATGTTACCGGATCAATGGGCTTTATTACTGAAACATTGGAGTACTGATGAAAAATTTAAAAAGAGGAGTGATATTGGGAAGATGGCTGGCACATCAGAAAAGGGAGGCTCTTTGCACACTGGTGGAGCTATTAGCCAGGTTACTAGGAAGGAAAGAATGGTATACTTTCTTAATTTAGTAGACTAATTTTTTTCTTTTTTGATAAGTACTTTTTGGAGATTAATGAGATCACACTCTATTTATGTTATTTGCAGGAAAAAGAGTTGGGTAGGCCAGTAGCTGTATCAGAGATGTTCAAGGTTACTCACGTCAAGAAGAGTACGAACCCCACAGAAGAAGAAAGATGGATTGAGCCACGTGCTCAAGAGACATATGTAAGAACTCCATTCAAACTAATCTTTTTTGCTTTTCCTTATATATATTACATTCTTATTCGTAGAGTTTTTTGTTTAAATTACAGGATAGGTATATACGAATATCTCAGGAATATCGTAGTACTCTACCTCTTGAGAGTCAGGACAGACCATTTACACAAGAAGAAAATGAGAATCTTTGGAAACAGAGTGCTGGTGAACTGATTAGAGGTTCAGTCTATGGCTATCCAGAAAAGGCGTATCAGAAGAAGAAGTCTTGGTATTGTGGTTCATCATCCTCAAGCTTTGATGGCGGGGATAGAGAGACAATATCTGCAATGGAGAGTAAGATAGCTTATCTCAATGCCGAGCTTGCTGTTGTAGCCGAAAGAGAGAAGAAGAGAGAGAAGGAGATTGCGGCAGCAAAGGAGGTAGAGAACAAGAGGTATGCAGCGCTTCAGGCCCAACTAACTTTTCTTTTTGAATCAAGAAGTATTCTTCCTCCATGTCCGGCCAATAGTGATGGATCTGATCAGGAGGGTGATGAGAATGATAAGTCTGATAAGGAAAGTGAGGGTGATGAGAATGGTAAGTCTGATAAGGAGAGTGAGGGTGATGAAAAGTAGTTGTAACTATTTGGCATTTTAGACTTCTATATTTTTGGAATTGTTTAATTTGATCGTATTTTAGTTTATTTTGAAGTTGGATGAAGTTTATTTTGAAATAGTTTAATGTATATGTTGAAAATATTGTGTTGTTTTGGCTGGATGAAGTTTATTTGGCTTTGGGTTGTTTTGGTATAAATATGCAGGTGGGCAACTAAAAATTGCAGCAATTTGCTGCCTGTATTGCAGCAAAAAACCGACCTCCGGAGGTCGGAATTTCAACATTACAAAAATAAAAAATACCGACCTCCGGAGGTCGGAATTTCAACATTACAAAAATAAAAAATACCGACCTCCGGAGGTCGGAATTTCAACATTACAAAAATAAAAAATACCGACCTCCGGAGGTCGGAATTTCAACATTACAAAAATAAAAAATACCGACCTCCGGAGGTCGGAATTTCAACATTACAAAAATAAAAAATACCGACCTCCGGAGGTCGGAATTTCAACATTACAAAAATAAAAAATACCGACCTCCGGAGGTCGGAATTTCAACATTACAAAAATAAAAAATACCGACCTCCGGAGGTCGGAATTTCAACATTACAAAAATAAAAAATACCGACCTCCGGAGGTCGGAATTTCAACATTACAAAAATAAAAAATACCGACCTCCGGAGGTCGGAATTTCAACATTACAAAAATAAAAAATACCGACCTCCGGAGGTCGGAATTTCAACATTACAAAAATAAAAAATACCGACCTCCGGAGGTCGGAATTTCAACATTACAAAAATAAAAAATACCGACCTCCGGAGGTCGGAATTTCAACATTACAAAAATAAAAAATACCGACCTCCGGAGGTCGGAATCCAAATTCCAAGAAAAAGAGTCCATGTAATTGTCAATGGTGTAGATGAAATTTTTTTTTGTGAAGATTCAAGATTAGGTCATGATTTTGGGTCCAAAATAGGTTTACCACAAAATGCAACCATAGTACTTGGTGTAGCTGGAAGATTAGTAAAAGATAAAGGACACCCTTTACTTCATGAAGCATTTTCACAACTCAAAGAAAAATACCCTAATGTTTATTTAATAGTAGCTGGCTCTGGACCTTGGTTACAAAGGTACAAAGATTTAGGACCTCAAGTTATAGTTTTAGGTTCAATGAATCCATCTGAATTAAAAGCATTTTATAACTCAATAGACATATTTGTGAATCCAACACTTAGACCACAAGGACTTGATCTTACATTTATGGAAGCAATGATGAGTGGGAAACCAATTATGGCTTCAAGGTTTCCAAGTATAAAAGGAACAATTGTTGTGAATGATGAATATGGATTTATGTTTACACCAAATGTGGAGTCATTGGTTGAAGCACTTGAAAGAGTAGTTGAAGAAGGAAGAGGGAAATTAGCAAGAAGAGGAAAGGCTTGTAGGGAATATGCATCTTCTATGTTCACTGCAAAGAAAATGGCTTTGGCTTATGAAAGATTGTTCCTTTGCATTAAGAATGAAACATTTTGTACCTACCATTAATATATTAGTAGTATTATTTTGTGTGGAAATATTTGATGTTATTTGTTAGTACTTTGGGGAGATTAGATTCTTGATAGGTATATATGAAAAGTGTTCAAGTTGTATGTACTGATGTTATTGAAATCTACACAATCATGATACTTGTTTTGATGGGAGGCTATTCAATGTATTTTTTTCCAAATAAGTATACTAACTTTGTCACAATCCAACTTAGGACAATGACCAACTTAGGAGCTAGTGCTCCAAGAACACCTTTTCAATTTGAATGAGTTGTGACTTTTTTGATGGATTGTGACTTTTTCAAAGGGTTGTAACTATTCTAACAAGGCGTACTAAGCACTTCTTCATACTATACTTAGTTGGCTAGAAATAGAGGAGTTTCCTCTCTATTTTTTAACTACGAATTTTTTAAGTTTTCTACTCTTTTTGATCTTCTTAAAAACGTAAGTGTCATTTGCCGTCATTGAGTGAGTACAAAATTCAGCTAAATTTGAGGCACCCCACTATTTTGCTAAAGTAAATCATTCTATCATATAAGGATATATTTCAGAACCTCAAATACTTAAGGGGAGTAATTCCTTTAAGGATACATAGTGAATTCACTGAGCTCGATTTATCATTCTTTCATCTTGATTTATTATTATTATTATTATTATTATTTTAGAATAGTGTTTACTATTCATATTTCATTGAATACAAAATTTAGCAGATAACAAACTTCAAGATGATCATTCCAACAAACTTAGCTTATCCTACGATTTTGCTCGAATCGCTCATAAGCAGGTCGAGTTCTTAAGAACAACAATACACTTGAAACAAGTCCTAATATGGCAAGACAACCCCACCAAATAAAAGTTGAAAAGTAGCATTTTCTCCCCATACAAACTACTGAATCATTAACCATCTGTATTGAAAAAGTAGCAAAACCAGCAGCAGCAGCATTATTGTCATAAATAAGAGCAGCAAGGAAACCATAGACAAGTGATCCAATTGGGATATTTGTGATGAGAATGTTGTGGTTTACTCCAACACTATTTGGTCCAAAGAGTTCTGATGTTATTGACACTGCTGCAGCAAAGATGAATCCTGAACTCAAGCCAATTAGAGCTGTTCCTGCTTGAAGTGCTGCCTCATTTCCACTTGCTGCTACTAAGAAGAATGCTATTGGTGTTGGAACTAATGCTATTGCTAGCCATCCTGTTCTTGCAAAATAAAACTTCCTGCCAAAGAAATTCCTTCATTTTCAATTGCAACTCTAATTATAACAAATTCATGATCTAGAGTCAGTTGGTTCAGAATGTGCGTGATTTTATTACATGTATACATTTTTTAATTTGTTATTTTTCACAAATGTATTTATAGACCTTGTCCTAAATCCACCTTTGCGCCTAATGCAATAACTAAAGCCGGTATACAGAGTGTCATGATCCATTTCCTCAATGGGGGGAAGTCAGGAATATCGCCTAGGGTGTTCAAGTTTTAATATTTTAAAGTAATTTCTGGCCTATATATACTGTTTAATATTGGTAAAACTTTGAAAATACATATCTAGACACATTAATTCGTCCTCATTGTGTCTCGCGGACAACTAACACATAAATTTTGGAGGTATCTAGATGCTCATCTTGAAAGTTGGAAGTTTCGTTATCATTTGAAGCCAAGTTAAGTTTAACGGGCAACCTTTCACTCTATCTATGTGACTACACCACTTCCCTACCCTTTGATACAAAATATGAAAACAGAGTAAAAGTGAGGTTTTAATTACTTACAATCTGATGAAATCTGGAGCTGCAGAGAGCAAACGACCAAAGAAGGAGAAGGACGAGTACAAGGTAATAAGAGTAGAAGTCATTGAAGTATGTCCAAGTGATTGTGCAATTTGTCCAAGATTGTTACTATACACAAGCCCAATTGTTCCTCCACAAAAGTAAGCAAAATAATATAACCAAAAATCCACTCTTTTAACCAACATTTCCGCCTTATGTTCTTCTCCAAGCATAAACAATTGATCCTCCCCAATCATTTTCCCACAACATGATCCTTCATCACCATCTCCACTACTCCTAATAAACCTCGTTAGGCTTAATGTAAGAGTCGGTCCATCGCCATTTACACCATAAGACGTTACACTAATCTGGCTATTCTCGCGACTAAGAAACTCTCTATGAAATTCAAGATCGTCATCATCCACTAGAAGGAAGCCGGAACCTTGAAGAGTAAAACTAGAGAACACCTTACGTTGAAACCAATCGCGTGCATAAATAATCCCAGGAATGCCTAATGGAAGGACTAGTAATAAAATGGCACCACCAAAAATGACACGAGCAGTTGATAAATCATTTGAATGTACAAAGAGAAGATAGAAGCCAGTAATAATAGCAAGGAAATTTAGCAGGACGAAAATGAGTTGTTCGTGTTTGATGGAATCAGAAGGCAGGGGATCGACAGGGGGTTGTCGAAGAATTGGGATAAGTGATACAATTGAAGTGAATAGAGGAATGAAAGCATTAAGAAGAAGGTAAATGTGAGTTGAAGAAGGGTTTAATGAAATTGCAGCAAGGTTGTATAAGGCTGCACTAACTCCATTAAAACTTACAGTAAGTGCAAGTGCTAATGGTCTATTAGAAGGGAAATTTTTTATGCAGAGAACAAAACAAACTGTGTTGAACCATGTGATGCTGCTTCCAGCTAACAAGCATAGGAAAAATACCTGCAATGATTAGGCAATAGTCGCGAATTCAGAATTCAGAGTTAGTACGTTTATATAATGCATATATAATTCGAGCCAAAAAACAATAGGTTTGTTTGAACTCACAAAAATCGCGTTAATTAATCAAAGGAGATGACAGATTTACAAGCAAACCATGAATTAATATACTTCATTTTTAATTTCCATTAATAAGAAATGATTTGTTTAATTTGTCCTTAAGAAAGTAATGATTTTGGTTGTTAGGATTTTTAAATGCTAACGGTTTGAAATAGACACATAACTGATGTAAGATATGGAAAATTCTGGAACTCATGGACCAAATGAAATGGACATGGAGCCAGAATTTTCATTAAAAGGTTCAAAATATAGATTAGTAACCATACAGTTGGAATTCAACATTTAATCTACGTACATAAAAAAAAATTTAACTACAATATTCTTTCTGTTCCACTTTATATGAGTTACTTTCCTTTTTAGTCGGTCTAAAAAAATAATGATTTTTAATTATACAAATATCTATCACTTATTTTAGATCACAATTTTTTTTAAAAAAAATATTTAAATTTTATACTGGTTCAAACTAACTCATATAAAATTGAACGAATTTTGGATAATTTTTGGCCAGAGGATCTCATACACACAAGAAATAACACATGTAATATAAGGACAAGTGTCTCTTTCTCCTGTTACTAACAAAACGTTGGGATTTTTTTTAGGAGAACCATAATTTGGACCACTGTGAATGAAGTGTCTGGTGTAATATATACCAGACTTATATTCATAGACACTTCACCACGGCCACTAATATTTATGTGGTCTTAAATATCTGTAATTTATGATTTATAACACATAATTTTATTAGAAGGGAAATTTTTTATGCAGAGAACAAAACAAACTGTGTTGAACCATGTGATGCTGCATCCAGCTAACAAGCATAGGAAAAATACCTGCAATGATTAGGCAATAGTCGCGAATTCAGAATTCAGAGTTAGTACGTTTATATAATGCATATATAATTCGAGCCAAAAAACAATAGGTTTGTTTGAACTCACAAAAATCGCGTTAATTAATCAAAGGAGATGACAGATTTACAAGCAAACCATGAATTAATATACTTCATTTTTAATTTCCATTAATAAGAAATGATTTGTTTAATTTGTCCTTAAGAAAGTAATGATTTTGGTTGTTAGGATTTTTAAATGCTAACGGTTTGAAATAGACACATAACTGATGTAAGATATGGAAAATTCTGGAACTCATGGACCAAATGAAATGGACATGGAGCCAGAATTTTCATTAAAAGGTTCAAAATATAGATTAGTAACCATACAGTTGGAATTCAACATTTAATCTACGTACATAAAAAAAAATTTAACTACAATATTCTTTCTGTTCCACTTTATATGAGTTACTTTCCTTTTTAGTCGGTCTAAAAAAATAATGATTTTTAATTATACAAATATCTATCACTTATTTTAGATCACAATTTTTTTTAAAAAAAATATTTAAATTTTATACTGGTTCAAACTAACTCATATAAAATTGAACGAATTTTGGATAATTTTTGGCCAGAGGATCTCATACACACAAGAAATAACACATGTAATATAAGGACAAGTGTCTCTTTCTCCTGTTACTAACAAAACGTTGGGATTTTTTTTAGGAGAACCATAATTTGGACCACTGTGAATGAAGTGTCTGGTGTAATATATACCAGACTTATATTCATAGACACTTCACCACGGCCACTAATATTTATGTGGTCTTAAATATCTGTAATTTATGATTTATAACACATAATTTTAACTTTTTGATAGACAGCTTAAAGTGAATTCAAAAGACTAAAAATAAGCTTAGTATATAACCTTTGTCATGATAAGAAAAGGGGTAGAATAATTCATGCTTTAACACTAGTAATAAAAAAAGGATAAAAGAAAATGAGGCAACCATAAAGATATTCTAGCATGTTCTATATACTTCTGGTATTTTTTTATTTTTTCAAAAAAAAAAAAAGGGTTTGGCTATTCAATGATTATATTTTGACCTTTTACGGATTAAAATAAATATCTAATTACTGAAGTTGACACTACATTAACTATTTATTTAAATAATAAAATAATAAGCCCAACACAACGATTTCATTTGAAAACAATTACAACTAAAATTAGTATAGATAATTATATTATGAATTTAGAAGTAAAACGTGATTAATTAGACAGCTAAAAGCCTAAAAATATCATTATAAAAAACAATAAGTCAATACACTACAAAATGAAAAAGAAAAAAATAA